CAAAGTATTCCCAGTGTTAAATGACCACAGATGCCAACCCAGATTACTATATCCAGCCAAAATGTCTATTATAGTTGAAGGGGAAAGAAAAATCTTCCATGACATAAATAGGCTGAAGTAATTCTTGTCCACAAAACCAGCCCTTCAGAGAGTTCTGGGAGCAATACAAAGAGCTGAAGAAAGGAATGACTATACGGAAGGGGTTGCAGAAAGAAATTAATGAAGGTATAACTGTGGAAAAGTACAGCTATATCAAGAATGAAAACAGAGATTAAAAATGACAGGATTCAATACCCATCTTTTATTAATAACTTTAAATATTAATGGACTGAATTCCCCAGTCAAAAGACACAGGTTTTCTATATTTGCAACATCATTCAATATTTCTGGCCATGACCCCAATGTCTCTACCTCAGGAAAACTTGATTTTACTGCTGCTTCTCTTGCTAACCTTGTTGCTCTCACTAGAACCACTGGCTGCCATCTCTTCTTCATGTAATCAGCTCAGCTTTCTCTACTTATTGTTCCCAAAATAAAATGTGTCAAGGGTGCTTGTTTTCTATATTTGCAACATCATTCAATATTTCTGGCCATGACCCCAATGTCTCTACCTCAGGAAAACTTGATTTTACTGCTGCTTCTCTTGCTAACCTTGTTGCTATTACTAGAACCACTGGCTGCCATCTCTTCTTCATGTAATCAGCTCAGTTTTCCCTACTTATTGTTCCAAAAATAAAATGTGTCAAGGGTGCTTGTTATTCATAGTCCTTTTGAAGGACTCTTAGCACCAATCCTGAGCATGAGCCTTCTTGTGAGCCATCCGGAGAAATGAAGCCTGTGTGTCCTGGGTGGAAATGACTACAGGGTTATCTAGCATTCACTAAGTCTTGACTTGCATACAGTGCTGTTGTTTCAGTAAATTTTCCCCTCCCCCTTCTTGGGAGACTCGCACCAGTGCCCTCTGAGGCCCCAGGGCTGACAGACCGACATAAGACATTCTATTGGTTTTGCATAGTTTATATGACATTTGGCAGGAAGCAACTTACAAAGACATGGATTCTTGTAAGCTTTTCCTTTTCCGTGTTTGAAATTCCCAAAACAAACATCCCCCACCCCCAGTCTCTCTTTGCTCTCCATTCCTCTGTGCTCAATATGGAGGCAATTCCACCCCTTTTTCTCAGTGTGCTCTGTATCACCTATGTGTTTGCTGCTCCTAAAATGTGCCAACTCCTCCCTTTTCCCAGTGTGCTTCAATTCTCTCTGGGTCTCCAGACACATCCCCTCTTTTCCTCTTTCTTGGAGGATACATTTACCCAACAGCTGTTTTACAAGGTGTTGCTATGCGGTCATGACTGGAGCATGTCTTCTGCCAGAATGTAGCAGAGACAATGGTGGCTGTGTCAGAGGGAATAGTGGCAACAATAAAAATAGGAGCTGAAGAATTCTGGGGAGTAATCAAGACTGAAAAACACAAGTGGTGGAGACAGGAAGGACAAAGGATGTATCAAGAGGGTGGACAGCCAAGGCTAGTGGAAGGCACTATGAAGAGCCAGAGATTAAGCTTCTATACAGAACAGGGCTTTAGCTCCTACACTTTCATAGTGGAAGAATCTTAAGGCAATGGAATTGACTTGTGGTTAACTTTACAGCAAAGTTCTGGGTAAAGGCAACAAACAGGAAAGGTATAAGACTTTTGCTAAAGCAGAGATGGATTTTTAATTTTCATGGAATACAAAATACCATCTATGAAAGGGGATTTCAACAAATAAGCCATAATATTCTGATTTTTCTTTTAAATTATGTATATATGTGTATCTGTGTGAATGTATGTACATGAGAGTGTAGCTGGTCAGAGACCAGAGAGAGCAATGGATTTCCCTGGAGCTGGAGTTACAAGTAGTTGAGACATCAAATGTAGGTTCTAGGAACCAAGCTCATGTCGTCTGCCAGAGTAGTATGTCCTGACATCTCAGCCATCTCTCCTGCTCCCCAAACTACACTTAATTGTGAACTGACATTTTAGAAGTTTTTTAAACTATGTACATGTATGCATGTCTGTGTAAACTATGAGCACATGAGTAAAGATGCCTCTGAGGCCAGAAAAGGGTATCTGATGCCCAGGAGCTGAAGTGACAGGCAGTTGTGAGCCACCATAAGTCTTAGGATTTGAACTCAGGTCCTCTGTCAGCAGTAGAGTCTCAGACATTTAGACATCTCCAGTTCCTAGATTTGAAAAATTACAGTGGGAACATTTTATCACTTGGAAACTCAAGTGGAAAACATTTACGCACTTAAAAACTGTCACTACTTCTCCAATTCAAAGATAGAGCACAATTGGTTTGTGTTTGTTTTTGTTCTGTTTTAGAAGAGCCTGCACTAATGCCTCAAGTTCTCACCTAGCCTAGAAGTTGTGATGAGAAAAGGAAAGATGAACAAATAGAATTCTCTGCAGAATATAGTTTCTTTAAATGTAATGCCCTTAGGAGATTCTTAATCATAAAAGACAGGGGCTAGCAAATGACAGACTTGGATACAGGCTAATTTCATGAAAATTCTAAGCTTTTTTTTCAGAATTTAATGTATATGCAAAATATCTAGTGATCTTTGTCAAAATGCATACTTCCAATACAGTATTTCAGTCTTGCCTAAAAATGTGTATTTCTAAAACCACCCAGGTAATATTACTAACATATTTCATAGTCACAACCATAAGCATACCAAGTTTGAGGAAATTAGATTCCATGATATAAGTCACAGAAATCTTCATGTCAGCTCATGTAACATTATAGGGCACACAAAGCTGGACTGTCCACTGCCATAATGAAGGTTACAAAGGTCCTGCTCTGAATTATTGAATATTAAAGCTTAAAGTACTATAGAGTCCAAGTTTAGGGCCTCAGATTCACAAATGGGGTTATTGTCTAAGGGACACTCACCATATAACTGAATTTCAGAATTGGAATGATGGTCTTCTAACCTCCATTTTTATAGAAAACTTAATAAAACCAATCCACATTCATTGAACCAACCCACAAAAGATCACATAGAGCAAATATTGGAAACAGACACTTTATTATTGATAAAACAATGATTGGGGAATAGTACATCCATTTGAGTCATTTACTTGGATAAGCTATGTGAAAAATGAGTGTCAGAATGATCATGGGGAGCCCCATTCTTCATGTGCTAGGAAATCCAGGTTCAGGTCTCAGCACAACTAGCATGAATTCTGAGTGAACCAGGTCACAGCTACACTTTAAAAGCTTCATGAGTAAAGGCTAGGTTTTTGGATAAAGGCTAGGTTTTAGGATATTACTATAACCCTCTTGAAGGGTGATTAAAGACATCTATTTTACAAATAAAACTCAACCCAAGTCACTTACACAGTGGAAAGAAAGGTATGGAAAGCATTATTGGCAATGGCCAAGCAAAATGCATTATGAAGGTCCCCAATATCACCAATGTGCAAAATGGAAACCTGGAGTCCTTTGTGAATTTGGGGTTACACTGACCTCAGAGTTGGCATTCAATTTATCTCCAACTTCCTCTAAGAATGGAAAGGCTTAAAGCTTTTTAGTATGAGCCTGGTAAGTATATAAAATTCAAAGTGAATAGAAAGGTTAATAAATGCAGTCCTTGAATTCATGCATTCTCTACCAGCAATGTTGTAGTCCTTATTCTGGAGTATAATGTGTTTTTAATGTCATTACTGTGGAAAATCTGGGAGACTATGCTATATATGGATGATGAATATCCCTCCCAGAGAGGAAACAGTTTCTGTGACCAACAGCATTTGTTATAGGGGAAACACAGGGACTGAAAATTTATCTAATGGAACCTAAAACAGGTGACTAAAGCAGTATGGTCATCCTTTACTTTTATGGTATGAAACAGGATAGAGTACTCAGGACAATACACTTCAGCAGAAGGGAAGTAGTTGGCCATAGGCAGGAAAGACCTTTCTTTTCCTGGGCATCATCCTTACATGGTAAAGACAGCAGGATTCACAGATGTCTTCAAGAATTTATTACCCATTCGTGCAAGCTCAAGCAAGGTGGAGGCTGTAAAAAAAAGGCGGGGGGGGAGAGTATGGGCTATGGGGCAGTAGATGAGGGGAAATCTTTTCCTCAGTCTTTCTCGATTTCCCTAGTCATCTCTGCCCACTACTCTTTATCATTCCTTAGTACTCCTGGCATTTCCTTTCTTCCTACCTTGATTTACTTTTAATCTTCTGACTAGAGACAGTAACAGGGAGATCACCCCCAAGGAGAACTAGCTCCGATTCCAGAACTATTGCTACTTAGCTCAGTATGAGAGAGGAACTAAGAGCTATGTGTCCTTCTTGCCACTAACTATTCCTACTTATGCCACTCCCTACCTACTCATCTCCTTCTACCTTTAATTACACATTTCACCAATATTCTATCTACCAAGGAAAAATTAGCTGATGGAGCAGAAAAGCTGAACCACCAAGAGGGAGCTAACTATTGGGACTCTCCAGTGTTCACTCTTTGCATAGTAGCTGGCTTCCTAGGAGGGAAGGGAAAGGAAGGAGTTATAGTCTTACCTGGATGGTGTTGGAGCCAAGCCACTGCCTTCCTTTCCAGAAGGTCCCACACCCAGTAGAAGTCCCTGCCATTTGCATACAGCCAGAGCACTGTCAGTATTGTAGCCCAAACCGAGGGTTCCACTACCTGCATGACAAACATCCCCAAAGCTACAGACTGTGGCAAGAAACTTGAAGAGAACACATACAACAGCTCTCTTCCTCCTTCCACTGTCACCCAAACTGCATCTAAACAGTTTCTTGTTCCCCTTTCTGCTCTTGTAGCACTTGTGAGGCCTAATGAGAGCCCTAAGCAGAGGGACAATCCACCGAGTCTTAAGACGGGAAGGTCTTAAAGTTATAAATCCAGTATAAATACCAGGGCAGTAAAGAGCACCCATAAAACATCTGAGAATCACCCCACTGTGCCAAGAGAATATGCATGACTGCTTTGGTGTTTTCTTTTTCTTATATGAATCCTTAAATTCACATTTACTGTTTCATATTGTCTGTGGCCGCATGAGAATGTCTAATTTTCATATGCAACTGCTCATAAATTACCTTCACTTCTCTCCTTGAACAGGAGATAATTTACAACAGGACTTGACTTTTATTTCTCAATTTTGCTGCTACTTTTTTCAAGAAAATAAAATCCAAATCCTCTTTTCTATTACTTGGCAATAAAGTATACAGTGTATCTCAATTTTGTCATTTACAAATAGGAAAATTGTGGCCTTCATGTTCAAAATCTTCATTGGAAATATGGACCTATATAAAAATGCTTGGCAGTAAGCAAGAAAGACATTCCTTTTTCCGTGACAGCATCCTTATGGTGGTGAGTTTAAAAAAGGACAAATAAAAGACCTAAATATTTAAAAATTTTCCATTGCAGAATAAGTTCATTATTTAGTGCTATTATTGATCTTCAACTACTTTGTAATTAGTCCAGGTACTATTTTTTTAATGATAGGGTCTCTCTGTAGCCCTAGATGGCCTGGAACATATTTAGACAAGGCTGGCCTTGGTCTCACAAATATTTCACAAAGATCTGCCCCCAGAGTGCTGGTATTATTGGGGTGCACCACCATGCACAGCCCACTTAGTTCAATCAAATTATTGATCAAAATACATTATGAACAGATGCCCCAGCCATTGGATTCCTTAAAATTGTTAGCCTTATTACCATCTTGAAGATTTTAACAAGCGCTTAACATGTATTGCTCTAAGACAGAACATTATTTTGTTTTCTTGAGACATGGTCTTTCTGTTGCCCCACTGATCTGGAATTTGCTATGTAGACCTGCCTATCTCTGCCTCCAGAGTGCTGGGATTAAGGGCATGCACTATCACAATGGGCCAGCTAGAACTTCTTCATCTTTATATCTTCTCTTAATCTGTTAATTTCTTGCTCAAAAACAGAACTTTCCTAGAAATACAATTCTAGGCATATGTCCTTTAAGATATTTAAATACTCATTTTGAAAAGTGAAAATAAGCAGCCTGATAATTTTATCATCTAGCTTTTGTTCTGAAGGCTGGAGATTACAGGGCCTTGCACTTGCTCAGTGTGTGATGAACTGGTGATGTTATCCTCAGCTGCTCATGCATTCTATTTAATTATATGCTATCAATCACTGTAACTTGTAATCAATACCAAGTAATTTCTATAATGTAGCTTATTCCTTTTTATACTACGTCTTTAAAATAGTACTGAACATACCTCGCTTCAGTTAAAAATGTGGCTTTTTTCATTCACCACATTTCAAAGTCTCAGTAGCTACTGTGTTGGACAGTGTAGCTCAAGAATAGGTAAAACTCATTGAATCACATTCTAAGTTTTGAAAATTCAGAATAAAATTTGTCTATCAACTTCCCGCAATTTGCTCCATATTACAATAATTTCTTAATGGATAGAAGACTTATCAAGTTATTTTGAATGTAGTGGATCCTTCTGAATATTTTTAAATCATTTGAAATAAGTAGTCAGCTTATTCTGACTTCAATGAACTTGAACTATGGTGTGCCATACCCTTGACAGAAAGGGACAGTGATGGAACTGGGCTTATCATGGACTTTTTTTCTACTCCTTGATTTTTTAAAATAGATATATTCACTTTACAGAGTTGAGTTTTCTGAAGAAATTATTTCAAATCTATTACACACTTAGGCCCTATGCAGGGCCTCTCATTTCTTTCCTCCTCCTGGTGATTGCCTTCTTTCTCTCAGTCTTTCTGTTTTCATGTCATATGTTTCATGTATCTTTGAAGAATTCTAGGATGAATAAAGAAAAAAACATGCAATCTATGTCTCACTTGTGCTTAAGGTGATGATCTTCATTTCCATCAATTTTCCATAAAATGTCCACTTCATTTCTTCTTTATGACTGAATAAAACTCCATTGTGTATATGTAATATATTTTCTTAATCTAGTTATCTGTTGATAGGCACCTAACCTGATTCAATAACTTTGTGAATGGTGCTGCAACAAACATGGATGTACAAATATCTCTGTAACATGTTGATTTTGAGTCTTTTGGTAAATATCCAGGAATGATATAGCTGGATTACAGGGTAGTCACAGTTTTAGTTTTTTGAGGAACCTCCATGACGACTTCCGTAAGGGCTGGACCCATGTGCATCTCTACTAGAAGTGGGTAAGAGCTTAGTTTTCCCCATATGCTCAGCAGTATTTGGTGGTTTTTTGTTTTTTTTTCCCCTTTTTTCAGCTTTTTGAATGCAAGGTCTTGCTACATAGCCCTGGCTGATCTGGAACCTGCCATGCTGCCCTCTGCTTCAAGAGTGCTGGGATTAAAGGCCTGGGCTAGCAGTTATTTTCTTAATGCTAGCCATTCTGACTAAGATAAGATGGAATCTTATTGTTGTTTAAATTAGCATTCTCTCAGGAGTTCGTAAGGCACAATCCTAGCATTGAACACAACTGTGACACTGAATGTCTGTCAGGTTATACCTAGGAAACATTCGGTTTTTTCATCTACAGAATGGTAACTCAAAATAGGGAAATTCCCTTAATCATGTGAAGAACAAGTAATATCCTGAATTCTAAGTGATAAGTTTCTTAAATTTTACTTTTTCAAGTATGATGACTGGCAGGGAATGTAAATGTGCATGAAAGAGGGGTTTTCAGTTCACTTTTGTCACATACCACTCTTGACATACTCCTATTGTCCAACCCATTGATTTCTTGCTTTTACTTTCCCAACATAATCAAAAACTATCAATTTTTTATTAAAAATGAATCTGGTCTTATTAGTTCTATGATCTATCTTGGGTAGGCTTTGATTTGCACAATTCTCACTATTAACCATTTTGTATAAAAACATCCATTTCTTTGATTTTCTTTGGGTCTCACCTCAGTAGGGTGTGAAGCCTGCATGTCTTCGAAACGAATACCTAGGACCGTGGATAAATCTTCATTCATATCCCAGGAACCATTTGCATTTTGGAGGTTTACCAGCTGTAAAATATCACGCTCCTTAAAACCTTGAGAAGAGGAAAGAGAAAGCGAGGGAATTAGGTAGCCCATTTTTCTCAGGCTGCCTGACAGATGTACTGAATTCAGGGCAGGCTATACATAGCAAGAGTGTTAATAAAGAAAGCTTCCAAATTTCCTCCCCATATATCTTCAGGCCCAATCTGTGATGTGATGGACCAAACAAGATAGTTGCATAGTTCTGCAGAAGCTAGGCTCTTTCTATTAAGTTTGTATAGGAAGAGATGGAAAAATGTCTTTGGTAAAAGTAAAGTCACCACACACCCCCATTGGGGAAGTGTTACATAGCTTACATTTTAGTCTGATGGAGCTGGGTTGGCCCTAGCATGTTTGTGTACTACACAAATCTCATCTGTGACTTGGTACCCCAAGTAGAGTATCAACTAGGTAGATAAATAGATGAAAGAAGCAAACTAAGGTCCATCTTACCTTTACGGTGACTTTGCATCTTGGTTGTGTTGGTTGAAGTCCTTCTCTTTGTCATGTCAGAGGAAGATTCTTTGTGAGATGAGTATTTCATCCTTTGGTTGCAATGAGGCTCTTGGGGTTTGTCTAGTTTGATGTGTTAGAGAAAAGAAATGGTAAGACAACAGGCCAGGTAAGATGCTCACTGAGACTGGGGGGAGGAGGGGTCATCATGATTCACTGAATTAAAAGGATCCTTACAATTTGGCTTCTTTGTCATGACTGCACAGAAATGTACAGGTGCACTACTTGGAGTCTTAACTGCAGAAGGAGTGGGGCTGGCTGCAGCATTAGGAAAACCTGAAAAACACCAATAAAGACATTTAGACAGATGTTCCTATACTCTCCACATCTCGAAGGTACTGAAGGCTGACAATATGTGACACAAGTATTTCCTGTGTCAGCGTTGGGTGTCACCTAGATGATTTCACTCTTCTGAGCTGCCCCTTCTGCACAGTGCCTGAATCACCGAGTGCTCTTTCTACTGCCTATTTTCTGAAACCCCTAACACAAAGAAGGATCTCTTTCCTACATCTCTTAATTCACTCTTGTGCTCCTTTCAATTACGTTTTGCTTTAGAATGAGTTTAGCTTTCTGTAAGTTTTCTTGGCAACCTCTTCAAGCCTGAGATGATTACACTTCCTCCTTCATCTGGGTTACCATCCATATGTATTCACATTATGAACCGTCAAACTCTTTGTTACTTCCCAATATCCACTGAAATATCTGAAAGTAAGACTACTGACTTCTACTCTATTTCAACCTCTGCAGGTATCTTGAGAGTTTTTCCCAGCCATTTAAGTATCCTATCCAACATTCTAATTCAAATAGCATTGACTTCCCCAAGTCCAAAAGAAGCCTCTATTCTGCTTCAGTTCCAACCTCTTTACTCATAATGGTCTTATTCAGAATTGTTCTACTTTTCAGAAGTTAATTAGCAATAATATATTTCCAATTTAAGTATTTTAACTGAGAGATTCCTATTTTATTTGATCTCTGACCAAATTCTAGACTACTTAAATCCTTGATTTCTATATGCTCCCCTTCAATATCAAGTTCCTTCTATGTTTATTTCTGTATTCAATCTAGCTCAACCCAAATACTTTGTCACATGCACCAATTAATTGTATATCTGTCACTTCTTGTCACATCTGTTTGGCAAAATCCTAACTTTGAAATGAAGGCAATCCTCTATCTACTTCATAACCCTTGGCCATTCTGGACAAATTATTATGTGTATTTCTGAGCAATAAATTGGACAACTGTCCCCAGTGGCTGTAACAAATCTGTTCCTGATCAAATCCTACCTCATGTCTCAGACCATTTTAGACATCAATCACTTGTAAGATCATTAGCAATCTGTGTGTTCATTAGCCATCTAATCAAAAGTACAAATCCTTTTCAGATTTTGAATTTTGATTAGTGGAAGTTTATATGCATTTCCTGTATTTTGAAGTTTCCTTATCTTCTCTAAACCTTGTTTTAGATCTCTTTCCCAATGATATAAATCTGAGTCCTTGGAAGACAGGCATTTAAAACTAGTCAGAAAACCTATATGTAGGGAGACAAGAAAACCAATGAGAATTTTCAAAAAACATTTTCATTACAAAATACTCTCAAATATGCAGAACTCCTTATTCCATAAATATGAATGGGATAAAACATTTACCATAAGAGACATTTGTCGCTGTAGGGGAACCACCTAAGAGTGTTAGCCTTGGGATATCCCTGTGAAGCAGGGGCCCCTGCACTGGCTTGTTCAGGTCCTGGTTTATGGCAATGAAGGCAGTAAAGGAACTCATGACTCCAGACTCGATGCTGATAGTCTTCACCTCATGTACATTTACTGCTGGTGTCTCTTTGAAGCCAAAATCTTTAGTCTGGATCAAGCATTTTGCAGCAAGACGATGAATAGTGAAGCTGAAAGGAAAAATATTCTAAGAATAAGGGGAAGCTACAAGTGCTAGTTACCTGAAGCCATTAAAACTTACACATTGCTGAAGGAAGGAAGAGAGGAGAGAAAACATGTTCATGGGTTAGAATTTAGCAGATGGTGAGGTGACTGGAGGGAATCTATTTGGTTTAGGGTCAAGGGAAGGAATTCAAACAGATAGATAGGAGGGTAAAGAAATTTTAAAAATTCTCACTTGGCATCAGGCTTGGGTTGTAGAGAAAAGGTCACCTTTTCCTCAAAATTCTTGCCATGGAAGGTATATTTGAGGCACACTACTCCTGAAGTCTCTGTGGACTAGGAAAAATGTTGAGCATTAGAACACACTGGAATTTCTGTCTAGAATTCGTATGTACTTGGCATGATGGGGAGGGTGCTTGGCTGTTTCTAGTTGGCAAGTACAATAACTTGTTAAAATTCAAAACCAAATACCAGTTTTAATGTAACTGACAGGGCAGGAGATTCACTAGGAAAGACTAACAAGGACGACTCACTGGCATTGTTCCCATCAGTTGGACATAGATGATTAACCTCTGACCACTAAACAGAACAGTCTGTTTGGGGGAAATCCGGTTAACAGATAGCTCAGGAGGCAAATCCCAGCTCAGTGAAACATCTTCCACTACAGACTGTAAAGAACGCTTCAGGGACTTGAGGGCCTGGAAGAGAAGAAAAAGCAGTATATAACAGTGGCAGTGATTGCTACCATTAACTACTTATTATATATCAGGGGTCATGAGACATAATGACTATTAAGCCTAATCCCTAATCCTGTACAGACAGGTGACCATATTGTTCTTTGTTTGCAATCTAAAGTTGAGAAGAAGGGATTTAGAGTCAACATATAAGACAGAGCTTAGAAATATATCTGGAGAAGGCTTTTTGCAAACACTAATAAAATGGAGTGTCAGTTTGTAGTCACTTGAAATCTATTGGACATATCATAGTTGACGGTATCTTCTGCATTGATGACTGGCTCTATATAGTCTAAGAAAGGTCCTGAAGTCTCAGACATGAGCAGCAATTTTTTTTTAGCTTTCCTGTTTCTGATTTCAATACAAAAACCTCAAATTCTCAGCATCTCATGTCTAGGCTTATAAACGAGGACCAGATATGAATTTCAGATACTATGATAGATTCTCCTTCCACAAGGTTGTGGTGGTCCCCATTATATATATAGAGAGAGATCAGGAACTGTGTCCTGCAGTTAAGTTGAGCTCCTGTCCTTGAAGTGTCCCATTCTGTCTCATATTTGACTTGTATTATCCACTTCTGGATACATGGTGGGCCCTCACCTTGGTCTGCAGTCGGTCTTTGCCTGTGATGAACTCTGAAGTTCCCCCTGATACCCGGGCAATGCTTTTTATTAAGCTGGTGGAGACACCTTGCCCAATGCCAAATGAGAAACATCTGCAAATATAAGACGGAGGTTAAAGATGGAGCTCAAGAATGGAATAATCAAATTACCATAACATCAACAATCTCAAAAATACAGTGTAGTTTCTTAACAGAATAACTACCATGTTTTGGGTGTATTCTACCTTTTCGGTCATGTAATAAATGCCTCACATTTATGACACAATATTCGCATCTGGAGTCTGAGATAGTCTTCTGTTTCATCTTGTGCATGGGATCCAAGATCTGGGGTCCAAGAATGAAGGATCGCAGTCCAAAATTACATCTGACTAAAGAGCAGAGGAGGTAACAGAGCACTACTTTGTCTAAACACAATTTCCTGGATTAAAAAGTATATATATATGTGTGTGTATATATATATGTGTGTGTTGTGCATATATATTACATATAATTATATATTACATATATAATATATATTATGCATGAGGAATTTTTGCC